CTCTTCCCTCTATCGATCAAATCTCTTCAACTTCGTGACGATTTCGTTGCCGTTTACCGATGACGGCCTGCTCACTACTGACGATTCCCTTTAGTGGAAATACGGAGAACTAAAATGCAAACGCGTGAATAGACAATATTTTTTCGAAAATTTCATTTTTCAATTTTTTAAAATATTTTAAATAATTTTAATAATCAAAGAGAATCAAAATTGTGATTTTTTTTAATGTTCTGAAATAATTATAATGTGAGGTAAAAACTTTTGAATCACATATATGTTCTTATTCTTCATGTTGATATAAAAAAAAATTGTCCACAAATTTTAATTCTTTGACTCTTATTATTTAATTCTTTGGTTAGTAAATATTTTGTTTAAAAGTTATGTTTTTAAAATCTTATATAATACAAAATTTTGTATTTATATTTTGATAAAAGTAATATAACTGATTAAAAATATATTTTCTATATTCTAATCTTTTTATTTTATTTCTATATTTGATAAAATTTATATCTCTCTTAGTAATTTTAAAATTATTTTTTATTCATATTATTATTAATTCATTAAATTTTTATTTATATTGTTATACGGAAAAAAAATTTTATAATAATGCAAATGATACGCAAAACGAGTATTCACGTGTTTGTTCCTCGGTGTTCCATGATATAGAATATATATAATACACTTGTAAATATAGACAAGTACAATAATTGCCAAAATAATTCGAGGCTTAAGATCGAATCTTGATCTTCGGTCTTTCCGCCGATGCTGATCTAACCTGATCGGTGGTAAATAATTCGCAATCACTTCCTACTTACTTGGCCTTCGTCTGCACTCAATAGTGCAAACGATTTTCCGTTATAACTAGTAGATTTGATTAATCAACGTGATTAGCGATTATCTAATCAGTAGTTAAATAGATATTTTCTGCGAATTATTTGTCAACCGCCACCGTATAATTAGATGACGTTAAATTGCGACGACTTGCAAAAACTGAAACATATAAAGACTGTTCTGAAAAAAACTGAAAACTGCCAATAGACTTAAAAATACATCACATAATCTTCTTGAAGATACTCCGAAACTGCCTACTGACACTGCCCGACAGAACTTGATGTTCTTCAGTGTTACACAAAACCAGAAACACATTTATCTTAAAATCTTCGACATGATATTTGAAGATTTATTCTGATTATCATCGAAAAAAGACTTTTTATTACCGGTTCCTACATCCGAAATGCATTTAAGAATGACCACACAATTTTCGTCGCGATTTTACGGGCTCTCTTCGATGATGACTTCGTATAATGTTTTTCGGCGGAATGTTCTATAATCTAAAAAGAATTGATCATTGGCGAATACGCGGAATATATCGTAATAATATATTTTAACGAGTAAATGAATGAGCGAACTAATGATTGAATGCAAACGTGCACGTGCGTGTGCGTACGTGCGTGCGTGTTGTTGTGAGAGAGGATTTATTGGTAATATAGGTATCTGTAAATCCGTAATACACACCCACTCGATCACATAGTGTCGGTGATCTATCACGGTTTTACCTAATTAATCAATATGTAGAATCCTCGTGGAGGAATTATAATTGCTAGTCTTTAATTATGCGACATGCGTACGTAAATTCTCGCGCTACGTCAACGCGAATTTACATGCGCATTTCGCAAGAAGTGAGCGCAAGAAATGAGTATGTGAATTGACGAAGAGGTACTCAATAGGCGAGGTGTATAATAAGTGTGAAAATATAAATTGCCATTTTTTTATGTAGACAATATATTGTAATTATAATTATGTATTCATAATTACTATTATTTTATTATAACTATTATATTGATATTATTATCGCTATTGTAAACTTTTGATTAGATTTGAAGCTCTTATTGTAATAATAGTAATTATAATTAATTATTAATTATGGCTAACTATTAGAACTCTATTATACGTAATAGCAAATTATGATTGTAATAATCGCGGCTTTGATTTTTATACATAATATTTTATATATACATATTATAAGGATGGAAAGATGATACACACAATACACGTACACACGATTACTCTTCAAGAGACGTTAGTGTATTTTGGTATAGAGCATGTATGCTATATTGTGTATAAGTGTGGCAAGAATAATTTTACGTGTCCGGTCTATACGAGACCGGAAAAACGAATTTTATCTTTGCGACTCTCGTTGAGTTGGCGATCCGTTTGTTTTCTCTATATGTTTCGTATCTTGACAAAAGAACATTAGAAAGGTCGTATTTCAAATGGATTGTATATTTTCATGGAAAAATTACTTTCCACAGAGAACACTAAAGATCGAATACGAAAAATTTAAACAGCAATTGTGATAGCTTGCATAAGCTACCTTTGGCGAACGGACAATTATTTTTTAAGTTAATGGACATTTTTCAACAGGCCAGTAGCAAAAGCTTTCAAATTGTAACTGTAATCTCGTGGTAATCGTCTTCTTCGATGTAAAATTTTTGCAATTTATGATTCTCAAGCTGACGTGCAAATTGTATGAATATCGTTTATTTGAATGCAACTCGACCCATCTTCGGGGTTATTACGTCATATTACGTCCTCAATTAAGGCTGTAAATAGGAAGTACCAGATGTTCGTTGAGCCACGAACTCAAAGTTCCCAGTAACTTCCGACATTTAAGTGCCTAAAGATCCAGATATACGTCTATTCTCTTCGTTGTCTAGTTTCTATAGTTGGATAAGGTACTGCTTGTCAAAATGACAACGACAAAAACTAGTGTTTGTTTGTCGCGTAATAAATGTTTCTCGCATTCATCACGGAATGTTTGTTTAAAATACACTCGCCGACAAAATTAACGTAACATCTGTTCTACCCTAAAGTAGAGATTTCAAGCTGTAAAATGCTTTTTAAACATCTCCATACGATGATTTTTCACAAAGTTGTTTCATCTTGAAATCTGCCTATTTTTACAAGGTAGAACAGATGTTGCATTAATTTTGTTGATGAGTGAGCCAACATATTATATTATGCCACCATATTATAATGAGCATTTCATAAAAGAAATATGAAGATAAATTACACTTTTCTTGATATTCCAATTGAGTAAGATGTACAAACGAGAGTAAATAATTCCTTTTGTATTGCATTTTTTGCAATATCTACGGTACCTGTGAAACGATTGCAATAGTGTAAAACTTTAAAAGAGCGATTGCATAATTTTATTAGCTTTTTATAAACTTTGTTTAGTATATATTTATTAAATCATATTTTTAAGCCGTTATAAATTTTAATCAATTGCTAAATGAACAATGATGTATATAGCATAGAATAATGTACAAACCATTAACCCTCTGATGTTTTCTGAAAATAATTTTACAGGATACGCATCATTTTCTTGGTCTTATTTAAAAATCCATTTATTATAATTAAAAAAATATAAAGGTTTGCAAATAGTTATTAGATTTGTAAGATGTTATTTTTCATTCTATGTTTATTAGATTGTGCACTACAAATAATCAAAAAAATCCCAGTTGCTTGGTAGCCCGTCAGAGGGTTAAACAAAGAAGATGCTCTTCTATATAGAATAATAACACAAACGATATAAAGCGCCGAACGTTGCAAGACCAAGAGAAGATGCAATAAGTAATAAAACGAACAAAATATAAAAATCTATACGTATATCTTTACAAAAATGGAACTTAGGATATACATATACAGTAGAAATCATTGGCAGCGCTTTATCCAACTTTGCTAGTTTTTACGTCGCAAAGGACGAGAGACTGTCGTTCGACACCCTCAACAGATCTCAGCACTCCGGCGAAACGAACAAGGATCATTTATTTTTTAATCGAACTCACAGAAGGGCCAGCTCGTTTCCGTGGAGTGCGCCTAACGAATAAATAATTATATATTATAAATAAATAAATGAATAAATATAAATGCATATATATATATATACACATATATATATTCAGATGCGCATGCGTGTACATACACATATGTAAATCTAACAATAAGTACGGGAACTTTGAGGTGCGCGGGGCAACGAAATCAGAAAATCCTCGAAAGTGGAAGCGCCGGAACGTCGTCAGTCGATGTTTTTGTTTTTGAGGATGCAAGAGTCAATTTTTCGATTGCGTAAACAAAACCCCTGCATCACTGTAACATACCTCTATAGCACGTCTCATAGTTTAATTAGCCCTCGGGTTATCGGTCGTTTAAATTTTCTCAGGCACAAGGAAGCGCGCGTGTGTGCGTGGGTACCTTCAAATATATTTATTTTTCTGACTAGAAAATCGAGGGATTGAAACAGTGATAAGAGGGGTAGAAAAAGAAGGGAAGATGATACATTTTGCAAGCGGTGTTTGGTAATCCGAGGGTTAAGACTGATTCTACAAACGCGTTATAAAAAATGCTAGACCGAGCATATTTTATAATTATACTGTCATTATTATTGTTTGTAATTATACGATTACTATTGAATTTGTTTTTAATAAACGGCAAGTGCCATGATTACATATATAAGCTGCTGTATAGTCATTCCCTTATCTTGGTAAGTAAATGCTAAGTTTGATATTAATTATATAAAAAAGTCTTACAATATTACCGCTCGATTTAGACCGTTTTTTCTTTGTACTTTGCATTGCAAAAAACGACTGAAATCTAATTATAAATAAATTGTTCGCAGGAATTATAAAAGGATTGTTCTTTCATCAAATAAATATTGATTTTACTATATTATAGCTGTTATTAAGAAATTGGTTTTCAGATAATTATTTGTATATAATAAAAGAAGAACTGAATAACGTTAAGTTAACTACCAATCAAAAAATTGACAAACAGTTGACTTACAATAATAAACGAATGCAGGAATTAAAAGTGTTAGATAATAATTTTTGATTTTTGAATAAATAGTGTATTTTAATTTGAAATTTAAATATTACAAACAATTTGGTTTTATTATTTTATTATTGCAATAGATAATTTTAGAGAAATTACAATCAGATGTAGCAATCTTGATAGTCTTGATTTTTTTAGGAGAAGCCCGAAGTTTATCTGAATTTAAACTTCATCTTCGTCGTTGAAATCGGATGCATCTTCTCTATTTGTCATTACATTGCTATTCAAATTGATATTACTATTCATATTTTGATTTCGTGTTTTGGGTAAACGTGAATCACCACCGCTGTAAGAACGTCTATGATGCCGACTGGCCTTAAAATTCGTGTTCAAGTTTTCGTTAATATTAGCATTCACATTTTCATTGTCATTCTTGGGCTTCTTTTGATGCTTTAGCTGTTTCGGCGTTGAAGAATATTGGATGTTGTTCTGAAAATTCAATTTTTTGTCTATGGTTAAAAAGTCCAAATTTTATAATTTTTAGAATAACTAAATCAACAGAGAATAAATCTATATGAGAACTGAATAAATTAAATTTTATACACTTTTTTTATTTGTCAAGAAATTGTTATAGATTAATTTTGTCGATATATATATACAAACCAAAATAATTATTTTTTATACATTACGTATTATAAATAGTAGTAAAAAAAGAATAGAAACCACATCTGTTTTTGTAGTTTTACTTATTTCACTAATACCTCATTGCTATCATCAGATATTTGGTGTTCTGAAATCAGGTTGCGTAGCTTCTCGGCTGGCAAAATACAAAATGTGTTTTGTTCGGTTTGTTTCACAAGTATGTTTTCGAGACGTTGCAGGGATTCTAAAATGGTCTCTAAGTAATGGGATTTTCTAGCATCAGCATGCGACAACAAAATCAGGAGCTTACGAAAATAAAAATGTAAAATTAAATTACATATATTTTATAATAAATAACTCTTTGTTTTCAAAATAGACTTACAAGTAATACTACCCAACTTATATATGTATACCAAGTTACAAACAAATCGGCGAGTGAAAGTTGGGTAGTGTTAATTGTTAGTAAAAATATTAAAAAAAAAAATAAAAAAAGAATTTTAAAAAATCTAAATTGTGTTACATACAATTAATATCTATGAACTGTCGATATTAAATTCAGCAGTTATTGCTAAAAAATAATTAACTTACCAGACAGCCAAATATTCGATATAAAATCATTGTGGAAAACATGATTGTCAATGTTCGAAGTCTCTCTCGAAGATTCTCTTTGATTCCTAGACTGATCGATCGAGTGTTCATATAGAAGCGTTCACGGTCACGTTAAAATTAAAAGTCGTTTGCGAATTTGCAGTGAGTGTAATAAAAAAATTATTAATTATATAAAGCTTACAACATAAAATGTTATCGTTCGCTTGAGTGAAATGTGCTAAATAGCTAAATTCAATTTATTCTCTACGATACCGCCAGTTGATATAAAATAGTTTAGAACGTCGAGATGGAAGTACATAAAATACATTTGAAATTTTGCATGCCGATTTAAATTTGTAAACAATGTGTGCAAGGATCAAAGGTTTTTCTTTTTCTCTTGTCAATGTTTGTTATATTAATTTTTATTGAATTTTTACTTTAAACAAAAAATAATTACAAAAGAGTAAATTATATTAGGATTACTTACTACTATACATATTTATCAAATAGTCAATTGAAGAAATTATATATTTATTTTAGTGCATCAATTTTTTCTTACGTCACATAAAGCTAAATTATTTTAAACACATAAGTGAAATATGCGTACAGTAATCAAAAGAATTATCTATTTATTATTTTATTTAAAAACAAGAGAAATCAAGTTTATTGAACTACAAATATTATATAATTTTCTTTTCGTTAAAGTAATGTCAAATTAATGAAGAACATCGAGGATATCTTTTCTGTGAATTTTGATTCTGACATTCACATAATTATTCTGTTCATCATTGTCTGACATTGTTGTATCAAAACGTTGCATCATCCTTCTGGAACTATCCTTCTGATTGGTCTTAAGATGAGTTTGTTTCGATAGAATCATCTTCAGGGAGGCCATCATGTCTGCCACGATGTCTCTCGCCATGATCTCTTCGTCTAACATATTTATACTCGGCGTGTCTCTGGTGATCGCCCTTCGGGCGATCTTATCGAGCTGAGTTGCCACTTGAAAGATTGACGGGAATGTTCTGCCTCTTCTGTTATGTGGCACTAGAGATATTACAGCTTCCTTGAGATCCTTCATAATGCTCTTTGAACTGGAGATATGATTAGTGCGGTTATTTAAACGAGTCTCTATTATCTTCCACAACTCCTGAGCCAACTCTTCTGCATTTACATTCACGTTGATGTTTATATTCTTGTTTTCAATTATGGGTCCTAACAACTGTTCCTGTAAGTTGCACTTTTTGTTTTGAACGTAAATATTTGTTATTAATGGATTGTCATTATATAAAATAACGAACGAACTCGAGTTTTTATTATTATAAAATTTTTATATCATTTAACAATATCAACTACATTATTGTAGCGATTGATTCTAATTATGTAAAATTAGTGATTGTAATGTGTTAACACATTAATATATTTAGTAATAAATTACTGGTACGTAACATCTATCACGAAATTAATTTATTCGTAAAAATTACTGTATAATTATTGTGTAATATTCTTAGATAATTGCGATAAAAAATTAATTTTTTTTATTTATTTCTTTATGTTCTCTTACATATTCTTCTGAAGATTGCTCCAAAGAATGCATCTGAAAAAATTTATAAATATAAATGTTACATTGTTTACAAAATACTTAATAATATAGTAATCTTTTGTACTTTCAAATTGACAATATACAATAGATTTGAATAGATTGCTGATGTTCTGTTACCAGAGTAAGGATAATAAGAATATAAAAATACAAAAGATTGTTCTTATATATATATATATATAAACAATTTATAATAGAGATACAAAAACTTTTTTATCGGGTTTTTAATGTCATATTATCATTATTATTATCATTATTAATTAATTACTTTTTTACTTGTTTTATTCTTACTTGAGTACTGACCACCACTATGGTGGCCCACAATATTGGTAAACACGTAATTGTCATAATGTAATGGTATAGATAAATTAATTTGAGACGCTAGCTCAGCGTGTCTCGAAACGGCGAATGCATATACTATAAACCGACTTTTATATGCGATAACACGATGTGCCGATGGAATTCACGCGCAATGCAACGGTGTGATATCAAGACCTCATAGAAATTAAAGACGGCGCAATTCGTGCCGGAGATTTAATTCGCGCGATAATTCATGATAAGTCCGGACCGTCCGCATATAGGCAGTTTGTGGATGTACACAATGCTGATCAATGAGACACAATGTTCGTAAGAGCAGCTTTCGCAAAACGTATCTTTTAATTGCAACGCGTGCGGTAATTATCATTTTGCGCATTCCATATTGCCACAATCATATGTGTAATTTGCGTAAAAATCGCCAAATTAATATGTCGCCATTTAATTCAGTTTGATCATTGTTTTGCTTATCTACATATTGGGAGTACAAAAATTAATTCGGTTCATTTTCCAAAAGATGATTGCCTCCACAGACGAGTCATTTTTTCGAGATGGAATTCGAAAATTACCTGAGAGATGGGAAAAAATAGTAGCCAGCGATGGACAATAGGGAAACCCGGGGTATAATGAAACCATGGGATATAATGGAATGTACTCGATATCTGGTTACAGAGATGCTAATATGTAATGAATTATCAAACAATAGTTACTGTTAGATGTATCTTTTTATATATTGTTATTAGTTGTCATATTAATTTTACATGAATATTGTTAAAAATTGTTTAATGTGTTCGCTTTTGCTGTCCGCAAATGAGTTACAGGTTCTTTGGTATATTCGTGTAAGGTAAGCAATAATAAAATTCTATTTTTTATTGTCACAAGTACATTTATCTTATTATATGATCTTTTCTTGTTACTTTAGTAAAATCTATACAAATACATTGTTTATCTGTGGTATTTTATATTATCTAAAATAAATTAATGTACTTTGAGGCATAATGGCGCACTAATACATGGAGCACAATGGTGCACACTTGCACAGTGGCTGCCGCCGCGGCGCCATATGGCGCTATCCGCCGTGACACATGATTGAGGTTAGCGCCATTTACGTGTTTGCATATTTTTAACTATCAAGAATTTTGTACAGATTACGAAGCGCACACGTACAGACGAAGTGTTATCTAGTAACATTGTACTTAATAATGTGTTCTAAGTTCTAAGTCACTTTTAAGCAATCTTCAATATTAATTTTTTAAAAGTAGACAAGTTTTATGTGGTATCCCATTACACCCCGCATAAATGACATAGTAAGGTTATGACTCTCACAAAACAATAATTTCGTCCTGTTAACCTATACTTTTGTAGTAAAACTTAAGTTTTTCTTATAGTAAAGACTCCAAAGAATATTTTAATATATAAGAAAGTTAATTTATTTATTTTTAATATGTTTAAAACTTGAAAAAACTTAACTATAACCATTATACCCCGGGTTCCCCTACTTTAATAATCTGTTCATTCATTTTGTTTTGAAATAAATGCATTTTTTAACACAAAAAACGAATTAATTTGTACACCTAATATATATTCCGGTATTTAATATTTTAATACATTCATTGTCATTGTTTTTTTTGTAAATTAACATTATTAAAAAAATGTAAAAATGGCAGCCACACTTTTTGTATCGTACAGTAGAACCTCTTTATAGTCCACCTCTTTATAGTCACGACCTTCCAATAGTCCACAGTCGACCTTCGTATATAAGCACACGTTTGTAACCCATGTGACGCGTTTCCATGACAACTGCTTGCGCAGTAAACAATGCGCAGTTATATCTACTTAGATGCAATCAGGGTCGTATTTTTAGCTCAATTTTTGGGGATAATCTACTACTTATATATTAAATATTTCTATTTCTGTCTATAGCTTATGATATTATACATCAAGAACATAAACATTAAGCTACAATTATTTTTTATTTACTATTGCTTATATTATTATTTTACGGTTTCTACTGTGATTATTCGTTTACTGCTTACGTCTTACTTACGTTTTTCTGTGTACCATGGCTCTATTTCTTTTATGCATATATGATAAGTAAAGATATTTTTTTTTATTAATGTCTACATATACAATATTTTTTTGTGACACTTGTAGGATTTTAACAAGTTTAACATATAAATTCTGACTTACAGACAACAATATATTTTTTAATATAAGGAATTCTTTATCGGCTTTCATGAGTATAAAATATGCATGAATCGAGTTTTAAGATCGCTCGAGAATCACTGTACGTGATAAGTGTTTCATTACGGTAGCACATTATAAAACTAATCAAAAGATAAGTATGTTCTGATCATTATTCGTCAATTGATTTTCGCGCGGAAGTTATAAAGATTGTAAAATCAATTTAACAAGGAACTCTTTCGACACTCAGCACATCCATTGATGGATCAATTTCTTACAACTTCAGAACTGATATAAATAATTAACATTCAATTTAAATTTTCACAGATCTTATAATTATTATAGTTGTTATTATGATGTATAATAAGAGCATACCATAATTACAAAATAATAATCATTATAAAATATTATTTTAATTATTATAAATTATAACTTATTTATATATTATACATATATATTTTTGTATATATATGTATATTTCTAAATTCACAACAACACTTACTATATAATTTAACTTTTGCTTGTGCAATTATTTGCTTAGACTTAGATAATATGTTCAATAAATTTCTGTTTTGTTATTTATTATAATGATTAGTCACGTAAGTTTTGTTATTGTCCAACTTCTTCTCTATAATCGGTCGAAGCGCATTGATCAATCGATCGCTGATTTCCTGCAATTTTTCCTCAGACAGCTGCAAATGCAAATCTTTATCTTTCAAATCATCGATAAGAGAATGATGGTTGTTTGAATCTAATAGATTATCGTCGACATGAGTAATTTGATTTTCAGACAATTGATTTATTCTGTCATTAGCAGATGAATTATCTTGAAGATTTTTTTCTTCTTCTAAATTAGATTTTATAACGTTGCTCACATTTTTAGAATTTTGTACATCACTCGAAATCTTGGCTTGATGTTCCGTAATCGAAACTACTGTGTTGGATTCTATTTGATTAGGTAATACTGACGTCGCAATTGCAATATCTGTCAATTTACTTTCTTTCTTTATAGATAATTCTTCGTCGATGGAATCATTAGCACTTTCATTTATCTGAATAGGAGAAAAATCGAGTTTAGTCTTGTTATTGTTGTTCTCCAGTTCATTAAAATCTGATAAAAATCTGAGGAGTGGAATAGAAAAATCTTTTAATAATGTGGATTGTTTATTACTATCTTCGGCTGTTGAATTATTCTTATTTGTTGGTAAATCGTTATATATAATTCTTGTTTCTTGGTTATTCCTTCTAGAAGCTCCAGCATCAAATTGATTTTCTATTTGTTTAGCATTTTCACTTTGCTCCTGTTGAGTATAGTCGGACTGTGCGAGATGATTTTGACTTTCCTTAGCACTTTTTGGCGTGTTGATATCTTGTGATTGCGGAATAACTTTATTCAGTAAGTTATTTGCGTCTTTTGCAGTTTCAGGTAAGACTTTCATCATCGACTCCACAATGTTTTTCGTGTTTGATAGAATCTCACTTACTAGAGGTAAATTATCTTTCTGTTTATCAGTTTGTGTATTCATGTTTCCAGTATTTGTAATTATAACCGGATCAAAATATTTTTGCTTTATGTCGTTATTCTTATTTGATGACGCTACATTTTGCGTATTTTGTGAAGGAGTATGCTGATTCGCGTTTCCGTGACTAATAATCTTCGGAACAATTTGTGCTAAATCTGTGTCAAATAATCGTTGATTTATTTCGAGCGTTGATTCCTGTAAATTTTGCGAATTCGGAAAAAACTTATTTTCAGTTTCAGTTAAATCATTCATAATCGATGTGTTATTTTCTAGAACTTGATTAACTCTTCTCGCTGATTCCAGAGAATTTGGTACAAATTCATTTGCATTTAACGAATTGTTTGATGCATCTGAATCAAGAATTGGTTTTTGTAAAATGTTAGGATTAAATTCATGATTATATCCGGTAACATTGAATGAAGCGTCTCGGACATTTTGTATAGATTTCGTAATTAAATTGCTCATGTTTGAAATTAGATTGCGTTCTACATTTCGATTATCGTCGATATTTTGAAGATTACGTAATTGCAATTGCGAGTTGAAAACTGTTTGATTTTGATTCGATTTTATTTCAGGATTACCGGAAAATAAATGATTTAGAATTTTTTGGCTCTTATCAAGCCATTCTGGATTTGTTTGAGATGGTGATTGCGTTATGAAAGCTTCTGTTGTTGAAATTAACGGATTATCGTTGCGTATATTACAATCACATTCTTTCTCACTTTTTTTCCTTAAATGCGTTAAACGATTTGCGGTATGCGTTGCTAATTGTAAAAAAAGCTTCAAAATGTTTTCATTTTGAGCAACTGGATCTGAATCATTACGCGAGGTATTCCAATCAATATTTGATGGCAAAGAATGTACCTAATGAGAGAAAAAAATTAATTACAAGATATTATGTACACAAATTAAGTATACAAAATTATTATAAATTGTTACTATATTATTTCCTATACGTATATCTTTTATAATTGTACTAAATCAAATAAATATATTTTTAGAAATGACAAGAACAAAGGAAGAAAATGCATGTTATCTTTTCAAAAATTTTTAATCAGAAAATCAGCATCGTCATCTCTTGTTCTTTGTCGTTTCTTATAATTATAATTATTATAATAGATATATTTTTGATATATAATTTTATTTTTTAAATTCGATTTAAAAAAGTCTATGGATTCTTAACACAAAGAAACATCATAATTTAATAATGTAATTCTTTTTTAAATTATTAAAGTAAAATGCTCTTTTAATTATATTTAATTTAACTTAAAAAAGTTCTAAATATTTTATTTAAATTTATTTGTTACCAGAAGGATCAATGCGTTAATAACAAGCAAAACTGAACTTCTTGGCCACATTTTACTATTTGCTCTGACAGACTAAATACAATCGCTTTAAATATGATCGTAAAATTAATATTGAGTATTTCGATGTTGTCCAATTTTAACGACTGTTGTCATCGCATCACGTTTTCATCTATACTCTATGTCGGATTCAGTGTAGAGATTTGTTTCCTATTTAATTTTTTTACAGCCGTCTCTTTATTTTATTTGCATGATCTCATTACAGACAATCATTAATTAAAACAACGTCAATTAATTATTTTTATGTTTAGTAACTATAGAAAAGCATGGCATCGTATGGACGATCCTCAAACTTTAAGAGAATGTAGATTATATAATATTTCTAATTGAACTTTTACTGTAAGAATGTTGATAATTATAGTTATTAAAAGTAAGTTTGCAAAGATAAAGTTTAATGTTTACATTATTTTCTAATATCAGCATTATGATCTAATAATGATAAAACTAAATAATAAATGATTAAGTAAATGATAAAACTCTAAGGCAGGTCAATGAAAAATCTATATTATTTGATTAAAATTAAACGTATCAAAATACATATTTACCGTGCACTATTACTAATTTTATGCAATAGAACGGAAAGAACTAAAAGAAATTGTCAATATCAATTTTAAATAAGAAGTTAATATCTCAATAATGTTTAGTACTTCCGATAACGTATCGCGATCAATCAATTGACCGTCTATTCTTCATCGATCATTAAGTATATGAACAAGCCCTCGAGAACGGAGAGGATGTAATAATTACTTCAACATCCGTTATGACAATAGATGTATTTTCTGCTCAATTACACGTACAAGGATTCAATCTGACTGACCTATTTCTATGTATTGTAATTGCATTTATCGATAAATGATAATATAATATGTAACAGTAAGAAGTTTTGTGGAGAAAGAAATGACATGGAGATATATACAGGGTGTATAAAAAGTCCCGGACCTCTTAAATATCTTGAAAAGTAATCATTTTTGAGAAAAATATACAAAAGATGTAGGGTTGAAAATGATCTATTGACTGAGCTTATCAATTTGACCTTGGATGGTGCCACCAAGGTCAAGTCAAGGTCAAATTGATTTTTTAAACGAAACACCCTATTTTTGATTCTAGAATCTGTATATACACAATACTATAATCCTCATATCAAGAGTAACTGATATATTGTTAAAAATGTTTCTTATTATGTAAAAGAACGTTTATTATGTAGAATGTCTACTGTAACTAATTTTGTGTACATTTTCAGGGCTGAAGAGTCGCCAAGAAATCTGCGCAACTTTCATCAGTAGGCAGACACTGTCCGAACGCTTCTAGTAATAGCGGTTCCTCTATAACCGCTGTCTCATAATCTCGAAATGATATTTTTCCATCGTGATCGACGTCGAGTTTCTTCAAGGCCAGCTCCGATAGATCTTTCACTCCTTCGTCTGGATCTTCTTCACCAGGCTGCTTTATCAGGCAATTTCTATAAAATTTGGAATATATTTCATAACTATGAATAAAGCAGATACAACTAGCAATAAATTAAGACTTTAATCGCTTTTTACTTGAGCAGCTGAAAGATTTCGTCTTTTGTGATGTATCCGTCATTGTTTAGATCGTACACGTGAAAGCAGAAAACGATTTTGTCACGTAGACTACCCCGTAGGAACACGTCGAGTCCCATGATCCACGGTTCAAGTCTGATAGCACTCTCGATCTCTCGATCCCAACAACAAAATAAGCGCTCTACCAGAGTGTCTTCGGTAATTACGTGAAACGTGTTGTGGAGGAGTTCTCGAAAAATAGTTCTATCAATTCTCTGAGCACACACAATGTAAATATGAAAAAATTTTTTAATGTAATCTATATATTTGTTATTTTGTCTAAATAAAAAGTCGACTTTCAATTGCGTGTAGTGTAATTACCTCGACAGCTGGCCTCGATTGTGGCCTTCTGCCGATAGATATCGATCGTTCAACTTGTTGTTGGCTGGAATTGGTAGTCAACTTCTTGTAAAGTTTGCAGAGACTATCCAGTTCGACCCTGATGAAAGAAAATCATCAGATTAAACGAAAATCAAAATAGTTATATACGCGTACAAATAATTTTTTTATTCCGATTGAAAAGAAAATTGTACTTTTTTTTTGTAAATTGTGTAATTTTATTAACTTTTATTTGCCAATGCGAGTCCACTTAATTCCATTTGTTCTCGAGAGAATGATAAAATAAAAGACTGGAAAATTAATTTAAGAATTATTGCAATGCGTCTCTGCAAACTCGCCTGGAGAATCTTGTCTTTTTTTTAAGGGATTCGATCACTTTGACGATGTACGCGGAATTCCTGCCGCCTCCGCCTTCCGGCATCCTTCGGCGACGTCTCCTTCTTGATGACTCGTCCTTGTTGGAAGCAGCGGAGATCTGCCGCTTCGAGTTTGCCGACGCCTTGCGACCGCTCGTCAAGAAAATGGAAACGCTTTTCATGAGGGTCGCGCCGGCACGAACGCTTATGCCTGTCCGACGCTCGGCGTCGATGTCGGCGCCGGCGCCGACGCCCGGCTTTGCCCTCCCAGTTGGCGTAGCGTTTCGTTGTTCAGACATCTCTGTTCAATGACTAAAAGTTCCGAATTGATTGAAATTTAGGTTGTTGACATTATTAAAAATAATTCTAAATTATTCGAGTAGTTTTAGCTTCCCTTATACAAATTTTTCACCGTTTTTAGCCTGTTTTTAACCCGAGCGAACGGTTAGTTTGAGTGGTAAATACATGCTGTGTAAATTTGAGGTGAAAAAACGTGTCTTTAGTAATCACGAATACTCATAGCGGAAAAACGAATATTAAAAACGGACGATTCACTCAAAAATACACATGATCATACTCGCATAATACGTTTATCGTTCATCAGCGAAAAAACGAGTATTGAAAACGTAATCTTCTCAAAAATATTCATACGCATACTCGTTTATACTCATTATCATTCCTTCCGATACGCCACGAGAGCTTGCGAGTACAATAAACAGGCAGGAACGGGCTAAAAACGGGCTAAAAACGGTCCATATGCATGAGGGGTCTAAAAACGGTGAAAAATTTTTATAAAGATTTTTATTTATACAGCAGAAAATTAAGAATGATGGCATCTAGTCTTTAATAATTAAAATTTTTTCTGTTTATATATTGCATATTAATTATAATAAGTTATTGAAAGGCAAGATGGAAGAGATTATATTATACATAAAGATAAATGAATGAAGAACAGTAGCAGCAATGTAATGCTACTTATAAGTCTGAATATTTAAGATCTTTACAGTAGTATAATTAAGAAGAAAATACATACCTATAATAATCAAGTATAATAAATAATTATAATTAGTAATAAAAAAGAATCATCAATCGTACATGAAGATACAAGATTTAATATTATAAAGATACTTTTGTATACTGTAGTGTACAAAAAAATATAATATTTAAGATTGTAAAAAAAAAGGGGAAGTAAGATGAACATAATATAATGAGTTCAAAATGGGACATAATATGGTGAGAAGCAAGTAATTCGAAAGTATAGAAAGTCAATAAAGAAGAACAAACATATACTTTAAATGGAGCATTTACGATTGTAATAAAAATGTAAATCTGCTTAATAGGAATAGGAAAAAATGTATGAAAATAGAAACTGTTACTACGAACCGATATAGACATTTGAGTCGATTAATCGATAAGAAATAATTTACGGGGCGAGAGTGCGGTGGTCCTTTTTTTACATCTGAAAATTGCAAACAGCCAATCGTAACTCGTCAAAAGATTGCTTCTCTCTCGTGCAACTGAGTTATTATTATTTACGATCATATTTACGTAATTTCCTTGTAACGGTGTTGGTTTGTCGTCTTCGCCATTTTCGTGGCACGAATATTCCAATGAATTTAAATTGTACATTTATGTGCGCGTAACTTGGTCTGCGTGTACAGAGAAAAGAATGTAATTTGCTTAGAAAGAAAAATATCCGAGATGTATGACAGAAAGCGCGTAATAGATAGCGCTTGCGACGATTGTCTATATTTTACATTATGAATAGTGCATAAACTTAAATGTTATATATTTAATATTGTATTATATATCATTAATGTATACATTAAAATAATATACGTTGTTATATTGAAATATTAAAAAGTTTATGTCTCATAGTCGTTTTGAGAGATAAAATGTAAAAACTTTTCTTATTAAGCAATGAATACAACTCGCGCTGTATTTGTGTTTGAAACAAACCAACTCGTGTATTATTTAGGATTTGTATGATTTGAACACGCAGTGCCAGGTAGAACATAGGAAATAGAGAAAATCTTAAAGCACTTTTATACGTTCCATAACTATTTTTATAATTTTACTAAAACTTTAATTTTATATCTCTGTTTAATTAAAAAATAATATGACTTCAAGATTTTGCGTATCTTTAAACATAAAATTATATACATATATATTTTGACCAGAAAAAAAATTTTATTTTCAATAATCTAATAACATATTTTTAATTAACTTGTAAACTATCTAAATCATTTTTAAATGTGAGATCTATTTATGCAAACAGTAATAAAGCGCTTGAAATATGAGATGCAGTTCTTCAAGAACTATCATTTTGAATAATGCATGTCTTATCTTCCAGTAATCATCCTGAACAATCTTCCTTGAGAATCGCTTCTGTAAACGCGAGAGGACAATTCATAACGTACTAAATTACAATTTTGAGAAAGCATGCTATTAATCTGTATGCATGTGTTTGTGTTGGTGAAATATTGAAATTCCTCTTATTTTATTACGTTATATGATTTATTTATCATATGAATCGTTTTTCTTCTATCATTATTACATGTCTTTTATTTATTATAGAAAAATATTTCATTGAAAGCAGTTACGATAAAAATTCTATATATTTAATTCTAGCCTATTTTAGTCTACAAATTGATTTAATAGTTTAATTGTATATAAACTCAATAGAATAATTTTGCCAATAAATGCAATTTTACAAGGGAATACGAACTAGAATGAGAACTACGATAGCATCCTAAATTAGATCGCGCTGCGATAATCGACACGTACCTATAGATTCTCAATTTAACTTCTCTAATTTCTAACTCACGATAAACGTAACATGCATGTGAATTTCATTTCAATCTACAATAATCTACTGTACCTACATTGATCCAAATAATTTACTTGAAATTATCAATATTAACTAATTTTTCAGATTTTACAATAACAAAATAGAATTATAATAATTCAATTTATTTGAGAAAATATTTCATCAAAACGATTTTTTACGATTTTGAGTTGTCAATATTAATTATCAATAAATATTAATAATCGTTTTCAATTAAACTATTTTATCCTGAAAGATTTAACTTCTAAATAGAAGCAATAGTGATAAAATAATTGCCAATAAGAATCGCACAGTTTATTATTCAAAAAAATATTATCACTAAAAACAAAATTATGTCAACTAAGTGCATTGTGCAATTGAAGGCACTGAGATCTTGCGAGTAAAGATCATTTTCTTCATGTGAGAATGACTTGAAATGTTAAAATGTAATGGAATATTATTTAAATAAAATTTACTGACTCTTGTTTAGTTCATATGAATTTAATATGATTGACAAGTTCGATCAAATCAGAAAAAAACTTACCAATTAATGACAAAGAACTCCTTCGTCGCGACGAGGGTTTCGTCGTCAGCGGCGACTACGTATTATCGACCAAACGTATCAAATGTGATGAGACTGAAAAACAGTTTAACACGATATCAAACAACAGATCGGATATCGAAGTATAAATATTCAATATGTAACAGGACCAATCACTACAATAAAAAATTAGAAATTAAACGAAATTGATAATATATATTCTGTTCAGACATTTTATTATAATTATATTTATTCGTTTATCTATATATTCATTAGTTAATTAATTACAGTCTATAGTCAGTATCTATGTTATGTATTTATAATTATACAACAGAATTTAAGGATTTAATTTCTTAAAATATCATATAACTAATTTTTTATAACATTTGAGCATATCGAAAAAATTTGTTTTACATAATCGCTATTTTATTTGGCTGATCAACGGGGGAAATGTCAACACCGGAATTTACTTCTAAAATGGTTGTCGACGTTGGATGATGTTTTCTGAAACGTCCAAATTAATCGTTAATTAGCCAATGTTAATGACGCAGTCTGCAATTTCTTATCCTGATTGTTTTTGTGCCTCTCTTACTTGCATAACTTGTCTAAATATTTTCGAATTTGCACCACTTGACGTTGAATATCAATTAACATATTATTCATCCATTCTTCTGATGTTGCAAAAGTCGCGGCTCGTTCTGTAATTAATTTTAAAATACATATTAACTTCCTTTTTAATTGTATTACATTATTTATATGTTTTAATTTCTATATCATTTACATTTTACTTCAATATATCCAGACTTATTAACGCTAATATTCTTTGACATCGAGACATATTTTGACCAAAATTTTCAATTACTTACTGATTCGAATGTGCTTGTCAGTAATCTCTCCATCCGGATAAACAGTATCGATCTCTTTTATAGTATTGATTAAATCTTTTACACTATTAACGTTATTTAGTGCCTGCAAGATAGAATCTGTATTGTTAAATTTGACGTGCATAATTCTTGATTGTTCTTGAACAAGTTGTTCGATAACTGAGCTTAGCTGCTTTAAAAATTGTATCTAAAATGAACAATATTCAGTTTAAAGGTAACGTCTGTACTAAATCGCACGTTAATTAACAATTTATCATTAATTTGTATTGTTTAAATTACGTTACAGCATATTATCGGACCTCACGTTTATTGTTGGTCTCGTTTTCACTAATTTTTACGGCAAAGTTTATGAGTTTCTCGAAGTTTTCCTCGTACGATGCAATTAGCTCCTTTAATTGGTCCGGCGTGATTTCGGAAATTGTATCGCCTGTCAAATTAAAAAAATTACGTGTAATATTCTGTATCGATTTAATAATATTATAGTATCCTAATATGACGTATTTTGATATAAATTTGTATACACAAGATGCACTTTCTTTTCTTTAACATTGAGTAAATTATGACAGGAGAATTGTTCGCGTTATAATTATATATCACGTACCTACTATTGTTGCGTATTTAATATTTATCTTTAATATAAAATATAAAATATACAAATCCTACCTGCGTCTCTCACATTTGAAAGCGTGAGCGAGCGGCATTGCGCCTAAAAATTAAATTCTGAATAAAATTATAATATAATATTTAATAAAATTCTAAAAGATTTTAAGTGTATATAAATGGGATTTAATTTTCAGGTAACAAAAAATTGGATATATATACTTTTGAAAAACATTAATTTTAGAAATTGAGAAAATTTTAGAAACTTACTTCAATCGCGAAGACAGCAAATATAATTCCGAAGAACATCTTTATTTTTCGATTACTCGCGTAACTTTCTCACTTTGCTAAGTGAACTCTAATGAGATCGTATAATAAATGAGACCATTTTATAGGCATCGTACATTTTATAGTGTACGACTAAAGGCATATGTACATACATGTGATGTTTTAAAACATTTAATGAAAACATCCGGCGAGGAATGAACGTATCGTTGTGTATCGAAAACATATAGTCACGCGATAGCATAGATTTGTGTGATTATTCTGCACTATAAGATATCAATGTATTTAATATTATCAAAAGCGCAACTGTATCTTTATTGTCGTTTACATATCGATTACGTTTACAATTTTAATATTTTTCGAGTAAAATATATAATGGATTATGAATAAGGGAATTATTAATGACGTTTAACACATTGATCTTGAATTTGCATAGAATGACAATTATTTTTCAATGGGTGTCATGTCTTCTGCATTTAAAACTAAATGCGATTTGCATTCATAGACAACTAATTGAAGTACAATATGTAAATTAATTATGTCTAAATTATTTATAAGTAAGGAATCTTTGTGAATCAATCTAGATATACTGAATTATTTGCTAATTAACAACCAATAAAATAAATGTAGAAAATAATGACGCCTAAGTGTATCAAATTTAAAATTTGCAAGACAAAATAATTATTATACTGGCTGCGCGCGATTTACGAAATAAATTAGATAATTGGGTTTTATATTTTGTGTAAACAAATTTATTCCGTATGAAAATATGAACGTTTATACATATAATAAATGTACAAGTATAATTTATTATGTTACGTAAATCCATTCCTAATGAGCGCAGTGGTCGTTTCTTTAAGTCCTTTATCGTCCATATCTATTGCAATCAAAATATGTTATTGTAAGTTACACGCTAATAATTTTATCATATAATAACATAGTTAATAGTTGCAAATTCACAAAGTATTATCTAATTATAATTAACAATTAAGATTATATATATCTAAGATTTTTCTTTCTGTATTTTACAATTAAAGATTTTTTCAACGAGTTTGACCTGTTAAAAGTTCTTAATAATCGGTTTATAATATTTACCCAGAATTAACAAACTCTGAATTAGAATCCTCCAAATCCTCCAAATCCTCCTCTGCCTCCGTAACCACCGTAATGTCCGTAACCTCCGTAACCACCGTGATGTCCGTAACCTCCGTAACCGTGATATCCTCCGTAACCGTGATGTCCTCCAAAACCGCCATGTCCGAATCCACCACCGTATCCGTGGCCGAAGCCACCGCCATGTCTACTGTACGCGGTACGTTTAAGACGATCAGCCTCTGGTCCGGTTGCTGTGACTGTCGTTTGAAGATCTGAAAGAAGTTTTGGATTTAAATTTTATTTTAATTAATTCAGGCATCACTTCAATAATCATTAGATTACTAAATCTAGAGAGATAATTATTAATAGTGATTTGTTTATTGATTTGATATATTAAATTGTTATTTTAATTTTAAAAGAAAGACGCAATAATTTTATACATTTCTTTTGTCAATAAATAGTGAGTCGCATAATACAACATACACGCGAGATAAAATTGATCAAAATGTCAGCGTCAACATAAAAAGTAGATAAACGGGTTTCTCTTATTTGTATTTTTCACGCAGCATTAACATGACGCGCATTGTTCATTATAAACATAAATCAATATATTTCACAAATTATTACAGAATTTAAAAAATTATATTTAAAAGATGCACTTATATGTTTTAGATATAAATTTCTGTCCATTTCTTAAAACTTTCATATTTGCAAGAGAAACATAAAATATCTTTGTTTTTAAAGATAATAGAATTCAATTTTATTTAGCAATCTCTTAATATAAAATCAATAAAATGAGAACGTTTGGTTTCCAACGTTAAAATTTGATTTTCTGCAATACTTTCACTAATATCGTTTTTATCTTTACCTTGAAGCTGCGGCGAGGTTACTGGTAATGCTACTGCAACTGCGACAAGCAGAGCAACGAATAAAAGGATCCTTAACATTCTGATACTGATTGTGCTTCCAAGGGTACTCAGTGCCAAATGACGACAAGGAAATCGGCCAGGCAGTCTTTATATACCCGGAACCCGTTCATATTCCGGGATATCCCGACGACGCGCGTTTACGCAGATATACGAAACAGGCAGTTTGGGCCATGTCGAATCGGCTGTATATTATTAGCACGAATGAGCCTCTCTTTTGTTGTTGTAGAACTGACGACGTGTTGCTGTCCCTGGGATTACTGTCGTCCTTCACTCAGTGGAACGTCATTTTGTGACAAGTCCAGTAATCCACAGTATCGCTTGATAGGTCGTTTTAATTCCAAAATTGCGAAATTTTAAGAAAGTGCGAAAGAATACAGATAGATCACTAATAAGATTTTTTTTACACAATGATGATTAATTTATCAATCAATATTAATTAACGATTTTTATTTAATAATTTAATTAATAATTACTGACCTTGTAGTTATTATTATAATTATTGTGTGTAGTAAAATCAATTAGTATAAAAATTTCTAAAGTAATAATTTTAACTAAAGTAATTTAGTACCGCAGGTAAGAGAATGTATTATTAAATAATAATTAATAATATTTTGACAGTTTAGAAGATTTTTATTATATTTACTTTCATACAAAGATTGTTCCATATTTAATTTCTTAGTTTTTAATTCTTAACATAGAATAAAGCTGAAAAGTTTGGAAACTGTTCATTAAAACAATCGTTGATTTTTAATAGCAGAGTTCTAAAAAAAACAATCAGTTATGTTAGGGCCAAAATCAGGTTGAAGAGGATGAACTGTAAATGAGAAATTATGGATATACGCTGAAGAGAGTTCAACGATTGGCGTGACGAAGGTTTTTACGAAGAAAGACGTGAGTACTAATTTTGCCTGCATAATTAATGTTCAACAAGCTATTTGCGTTATCATCAAACATTTTATTCTTGACAGAACATATTATAATACTTTCGCCATCTTTATAAAACTGTGTGATAAAAATTCTTATAACGAAACAATTAAAATATAAGATTATCATAATATATAACATAAATTCTATATTCAGAAAGAACAATATTAACACGAGAGAAATTGTTATTACAAAATCCAGCATCCGGAAAATTTGTGAAAATGAAAACACATTTTAAAATTAACCCTTTTTATCTTCAAGCTTCTTACATTCCGTCGTTGCATAACTAGGTATTCAAAATACTATTTCTCAACTGCTTGTCGTGCATATATTCGTCTTTGGATTCATTGTCCAACATTAATTACACTTGGTCATCGCAATAGCCGGTTAGCTTAAAGAACCATGAAATCTTGCTTGCCTAGGGGATACATTAACGGTCAATTAGCCTTGGTCAACTGGCCTTGGTGTTTCTCGGGACTTCACAATCTTAGGTCGATGAACGAATATACTTCGGAATTCCCATTTGACAATAAGTATACTCTGTTCATTCACTATTATTAACACTGTACAATTTTAAGGTTAAGAATCTATTCAACAAACTACGTAACTTAATCATAATTTTTCTTAATTTTTTATTATTTATGTTCTATTAAATAATTGATTGGTTTATATAAAATAAGATCTTGTTGTTGAGAAATTAATTAAAAATAATTTAAAATATATATGCTACACACATACAATATTTACCTTTAATTCTTACAAAAGTATTTATAACACATTTTGAAATAGTGTATATATTTGTTTACAATCGGTTACGAAAATTTCAAAAGATTTACTCGGAATTTTTAATATGTATTAGTCTGAAACCTTGAAGATATTGTAACTAACATATTGTAAGAAGCATAATACTAGGAAATTTTACTATATAAAAAAAATAAGAAAATATTCCGATGTTGTAAGTAAAATTGCTTCAAATAATTTTCCAATTAGCGAACACTTCAAAGACACATTTACAAACAGAAATCCTCATTTCGTTCTAATGTAGAACAAAGTAATTAGCATATCTAGTATTCTGTATAATTGTCATATTATACATATTTACATTATATAAGAATCACTTATAGAATTTTGATAAAAGAATTTTGATCTGACGGATTTATTAAGACTGGAAAAAGTATACTCATACAAAAAATTCACGTGTCTTCTGCATCGTACTCAAACAGAATCGTTTTAAAAGTTACATCACGCTTAAATTTGGGACTTCCGATGATGGGTGTTGTATACGTAACATTCGCGTTATTATTATTCCTTTCAAAAACAAGTGATTGCAGTCTTGCTTGAGAATGCAAGATGACCCTACAATTTTGCAGTCACCTGTCTATTTTAATCTTACACTTAATTTTTTCGAAACATGATTTTTCCGACAAAGCAAACAATTAGATACTTACAAACAGTTATTGACGTAATAAGCGCACGTATATTTTGCAAAAACCAATGTCAATTTTTAAATTTTTTATTTATTAAAGTATTTAGTAAAATGATTATTTTAATTTTTTATTTTTCAAAAAATTAGAAGCAATTTTGTCATCGCATTTAAATTGTATAAACGCTACGCGCAAAGTTATTTTAGTATAAATTTTATTAATTGAGCCATCAAATCTCTTTATTTATAAATTTGTTATAAGTTTGTTTTTATTAATCATAATATTTCCAAACAAAGTAAATACTATCTAGATATGTTACTAAAAATTTCTTCTCACATTATCATACAACAAATGTTGCAATAAAGAATTGTACAGTTGTTGATATATTAAAATTCAAGATTTCTGTATATATGGATTTTTTAATTAACTCTACACATAAATTTGTAGCTAAATTTGATAAACTGTATTGAAAATGTATTAGTCTATAAATACATAATTCGTCTATCATCTGTTATATTGTATGTTATGTATGATAACTATATTTTTTTTATTACGGATTAACTTATTACAAATGATTAATAAAGTATAAGTACTCTGTTTTGAATAAACTTTAAAATGGCGCGTAATTAATTGTGGATCGTTTTCAGTGTGCGTGTATAATAATGAACATGTCAATTTTTTGAATCATATGTTTCTAAAATTTCTTATTATATTATATGCGCAAGATTTGAATTTTATGTAAATAAAATGTACAATATATGTTACATAATTGTCATAATAGTATAATTTACTTATATTTAGAAATTCAGAAAGTACAAAGAAGTATTTTCTTTTAATACTTTTTTATTCTATATTAAAATTTACATTTACAAAAGACTTAGGATAGATTGTTAAATGTATATAATATATATAAAATATTTATTTTTTTCTTAGAAAATTCATTATATATAATTTAAATTATGTGAATTCGGATTTTTCTCGAGTTATTTGGATATTTAGATTTCTAGAATTTTATTTTAAATGACACTTACTGTGTAATGAATATTTAATAACAATTCCTAATTCAGAAAAATATGAGCTACGATTGCGATATGCTAATATACTAAGTCTTTTATTATTATAAATTATGATTCTAGAATCTAGTATATTCCACAAAGAAGATAGGCATATTTTATTTTTGGAATGTAACTTGATATATCAATGAATGTATAGATATGTGATTAGAACAAATCATCTAAGTTTTGCTAAGCTCAAACAATTACTATATGTCTGAAAGTTTACTATAAAGTAATACAACAATAATTTAAAGCTCAATATATATAATCTAAATATTAGAAGATTGCAAGTTTAGTTTCTGTTAATGTCCACTTAATAATGTATCTTTACGTAATAAATTGCACATTCTTAAAAACAAGTTTAATATTGTTGTTAATTAGTTTTGCTTTCTTTTAATCAAAAATTCTTTTATGTATGATTTGATAATATTTTTATATCTGAGATTTGATAAATATTTAATCAAAAGACTTGACAATTACATAGATAATGTGTGAGTTGTCCAAAAGGAATTGTCTTAAAAACTTCTAAGCGAGTTCAATTTGTTAATTCGTTGATCAGTTTAACAGTTATTCCTTATACGGCTGCGGGCGTTGTTTCTTTCTAACAAAAATACAAAAATTGTATTAATTTAAAAAATATATATATTTACTTGTACATATATATATTTGTTTTTATTTCTTGCAACGATTTGTTTAAATAAAGATAATTTTTCTTTACAAGTATACTTGAATTAATTCAATATTAATTAAAATAATTTAATAGAATCTTTTTTTCCACTGCGATTAACTAATCACAATAATTCGTTTTTTAGCGCAGTGTTTTTCTTAATGAAGGCAATCAACGAAAGGAAAAGATAACTCACCCAGTTGGAGATCCGCCATAGGCAGTGGCTACTGAGCTGGCAACTCCGCCTTTCCCTGTAGAGTAACTATTTGCGATGGCAGTGATGGCACCAGGGATAGACCCGGATGATCCAGCGCGAGTGGCCAGTCTTGGAAAGCTGAAGACCATAGGGAAGAAGTTGTTCAAATGGGGATATTTCTGACGGCGTCTGTTGCCCTTAAAAGGTACGAACGGCACAACCGGTTCATCATCTTCCTCATCCACTTCATCCTCATCGTCGTCATCATCGTCAGCGTTAACAGTCACGGGCGTCTTATGCGTTTTCTTGGTATGATGCACCTTTGGTCGGGATGCTTCCGTGGCAGTAAACGGCGGTTGCGCAATTTCTGTAGTTAACGGAATCTGCTCCAATTCGTGATGTCCCTGTAGGAATAATATAGATCTCCATGTTGTATTTTAGAGAGAACTATTCACTAAATAGGTCGATATTTATAGTCTTACAAAAGACTTTATTTCGTCAATATAAACGTAAACTAATCTTATAATTATAAACGTGATCGAAGCATATAAAATTGATCTTGCCACAAATTATGGATTTACTATATATTTCCGTTTTGCTTTGAAGTTTCATTTAAGAATCACTTTTACATATACATATATCTAATATAAACCCCACCAAATCATTGTACCTGAGGGGTCAAAGAATCCTGATGATGATGGTAATGATAATGCGGATCGCCAGGATGAAGCTGTTCCTCCTCATCGTAACGATGCTCGTGATGCTGCTCCTCCTCATGGCGATGCACCTCGTTTCGATGATGATGATATTCGCGTTCCTGCTCTTCAAACGCCGGCGCTGCCTGTGCCTCGGCGCTGGACACTTCCTCGGTTGGTTCTGGGCCACCCTTGAGATGCGGTGTGTGCACACCACCGAAGAAAGCTTCGCCACTCACAGCATTTCCTTGTGCGAAAACGCCTGTTGCCTGGTCGCCGTTATTTGTGCGACGTATCGGTCTATAGTAACCGGTGAACATCATCGTTCTGTGTGGATAAGGGCGCACGGCTGTCCTCTTTTCTCTCAGAAACATTACAGGATTGCCGTAAGTATCCAGCGTCACAGAAACTGTAAATAATACAAATTTTTTATTTAATAATAAATAGGTGTATTATATTATTTTTCATAAATCTTTAGCTTTGTTTTGGAGAAACAGATCTTTATATATCTATTAATCGAACATTAACAGAATAATTATTGCTACTTGCATTTGAAATGATCGGGATGTATTATTTATGACATAATTTTATTGTATTGTTAATTTTTCTACTAATTACGTAACATCTAAGAGAGTTGGAAATCTTTTTATAAGGACAGTTTCTTATACACTGTTCACAAAATGTGATTTTTAAAAACTTTAAGAGATGCTTCAAATTAGAAGTATATTAGCTTTCAGCGCTTACTAGGCTCAGTCGGAATCACCCTCGACTCCGCTATTGCGACCGACGCCATCGCAATTAGAACAAAGCTAACGTAGTTGACCATTCTCTCTCTAATCTTAACCCGAATTCTTTCGTGACGATTCTTTTTCGACTCTGATCATTCGTTTCTTTAGAAATCCTCCAGGAAGTACCGACTTTTTCGTGTTTTAGCGACCTTCGATGGAAAATACGGATAATTAAGCGGTACACTTCCACCGATCTTGCCGATCTTGATGCACCAACTTTTTGCACGACGCTGGTAGTCTTTACCGTCGCAATAGCTTTTATACCAAGAAGCACACGGACATGCAGGACAATGGGATGGGTAGGTACCTTGATATGGGGGTATGGAATGGGTCGGACCTATTGGTGGATACACAGGGGATACGGGATGCCCCACCAGCCTTCGTCAAGTGGTCTCTTATACGGTCGGGATCGCGGTAAAATAAGCGCACGCACCGTCAAGTTTTACGTGATCGTCATGACCGATGCGAAACGTGAATTAATTGTGATTCGCGCCGATAACAATCTGGATTCGCGGGATCGGACCGATATGAGGAATCGCGATGATCTGTCGATCTGGTTGTTCTATGCATGTAAATGACATGGAATTATTGATGGATATGCACCACATATATCTAAAAGAAAAGTTCTAGATAATCATTATATGCGAAAAAATGACCTTATTGTACCGCATAAATATTCGATTGCATATGAAATGTCTATTGTTTCGATAAACTCATTAACATTTATAACGTTTATAATAAGGTCCAATAAATTAGGGGAGAATGGATTGTGAATTTAGATTGGTACATACTGATTTGTGGTACATTTTTTATCAGTTATATGTTCTCTTATCTATTCAATCTATTTATCCTATCTTTTTTGAATGACCATGGTCAATCAATGAAAGAGGACATTGAACGATTCATAAATCCTGAATCACAGAAAGAATCAGGTTGGTTCGAGGCGTTTGGCTCATGACTGAAACAATGTGTTTGTAATGAATTCGCTTGGGAAACGGCGAGAATGTGAATGGGCGATGGTTGACGAATGTCGTAGAGGGCCGATGGCTCTTCACTTTCCCTCTTTCGCGACGTAAGTTACTGAGTCACCCCGATCAAGACGCGATAGAGGAATCTAACGTGCCAGACAAACAGACTCGCGGGCAGCTTCATGCATTTTCAATCGATCTAAAAATATACACGATCTGAGAATCGAAGGATTTTATTTGCGTTTGCCGTTTTCCTCATGCCCCTTCTGAGAAAGTAAAGTAGCAATAAAATTAAAAGATCGATAAACGTTGTTTATACAAATTATCATATTAATTAAACGTTTGTATAACATAGAATTATATAAATCAAAATTCAAATTTAAGCCAAAATAACGACCGCGCATTTGCAAAAACTTGTGTACCTATAATCAAATGCAACCACAAGAAAGTCGAGTCAGTAAACTTTATTAAAAGTTATGAGGGATGCGCCGTTGCATTCGTCACAAACATAAAATGTAAATAGCAGCAGGGACACCCAATGAGAGCACGTCGCCTGTGTAGGGATCAGATAATACCGCGTCTGCTTTTGCAGCTGAAGATGATGAAGCGTAGTTGAAGGGAGACTGACATCAAGACGGATCCGACTATGTTTTACTATTCCAGACATGACAGCCACGGTCACCACCATTGGACTCTTACAGACTTCTTGATCATCCCCGAAGAATTATCGTCACCTCTGACCAGCCGTACCCGTTCGGACGAGTATGACTGACATAATATTAATTCTAAGAAGTCACACGTGCGGTCGTAGGGAGTTACGTCAAACTCGCATCATTATCGGTGGATGGATCCGGTACCTTTGCATAATCGTTTGAAACCGTTTGTTCAGCTGTTCTAAGGAGAGACCTAATATTACACAATGGAAACTTTTTTTATAATGTGCGATTGTTAAATATTTTCATAAATTAATGTATTAGAACATTTTAACCTTTTATTGCATTGATAAAATGTCCTTTGTGTTTGTGTCTCCTTATTGTAAATTATTTACCCTTTATCGTGTGCAATTATATTATATTAATAATACTATTTACAAAAAATGCATAAGAGTAAAGGTAATTATTTTTCAATTATAAGTGGAAATTAGATCAGAATAAATAAAATAAGAAAAAGAATTTTACTTTTTAGTCTAGCAATAAGTGGATTTTTTGGAGCTTAATATAATATTAATATAATAAATTTACAAACACACATTTTTCAGTTCTATGAACTGTTTATATTTATTGTACATATGTAAATGAATATATATGACAACATTTATTAAATTGTATAACAGCAATTGGTAAATAAGATCATATTTAACGTTCAATTCAAAAGATTACGTCAATGATTACCTTCGTTCTTGTCCTTGAAAAAATCATTTTTGTTAAACATGAGTCAAGATTAAATATTTATTTGTTGTATCTGTACTAAGTTGAAGTTATTATATAACGCGTGATTCAGTGGATATCAAGAATCGAAGAATTGCTTGTAAATTTCGTATTTGCATTTGCGAATTAATTCGGCGATTGCGATTCCTTAGCTTGCAGTAGGAACGTCTCTAGTATATGAATCCGGAGAACTGTGCGACGCTGATGTGCTACGGAGATTGATTTTAATGCCCTCCCAAAAGGAAGAGGCAGCGATGTATAAAAATATTCCGGGGGGAATGATGTACGAATTTTGCGATACCAACTGCGATACGCCTACCTTCTGTCAGACACGCTACTTTTTGATCCGTCTGGTCACGCTCAGAAATACGATATGCGTGACTTGGAAAGCGGTGCGATTCGGGATTGATTCATGAAATAACGCGAACTCACGATATAACGTCTGCGATACCGGAATACGAGCACAAGAATCGAGCCGCTTATATCTGACAGATGTGAGTTAGAATAAATATAAATGTTATTAATACCAGTAGAAAGCCTATAACAGTTTAGCACGAATCTTAGTTGCTTATATATAATTTCGCGTGAATTTATACACTGATATATGTAGTCTTTCGACTCCCGGGTTCGATTCTCGGCCGAGGTAATATTTTTAGCAATAAGAAGAATTATTATTTTCAGATTTTAATGTAGTTTAACATCGATATAAGATGCCAAAAAGAGCATCAATTAATTATGAAATTGTTGATCAATTTAATTCGTACTACGATAGTACTACGGTTATAGTTTATTAGAGTTGCGTTTCAAGACCGACAATTGTTCGGCGCGCAGTTTGGAAAGACTACACATATTAGTATATAAATTCACGCGAAATTATTTACATATATAGGGGAAAGTGGGCGAATTGTGTGCACCTAAGGGATATTTGTTTTTCTGGAATGGTTTTCTAAGTTCAAAGCGATATAAATAGGAAAATAGAAACTATAAACATTCTCCTACCATTACGTATTCTTATATTGAACAGATTTTCATTCAGCAAGGTTGTATTTGGCAAAAAGGAAAAAACGGAAAAGTGAAAAAATTTGTCACGCTTCGGGTAATTGTGCTTATGAGTTAGGGAATTGTGCGCAAAGCAAAAGTTGTATAGGAAGTGAATGAATTATGTAATGTTGACAAAGAAAAAATCATAAAATACATTTATAACATTATAATATAAATATATATTACATATATTATATATATTTAGCAAAAATATAAAACTAACCTCTAATAATATTAATGCACATAGACTTTAACAAAAATACAAAATTAACCTAGTTGCTAGGTAATATTAATGGATATATGCAGATACTAAATTTTACAAAAACTTTAGTAAAAATAAAAAATTAACCTCTAATAATACTAATGCATATAGACTTTAGCAAAAATACACTCAAAAATACCTCTGCTCACAGTTGCTCGTCACGATCTGACTCTATATGAAATACGATTACTTCAATACTAGTTAACCAAACTTAATAAATAATGGGTAAAAAAAGGCGCACATAATAACGTACTTTAATAACGTATGCAACTTTAAACCAACAAATTAAAAATACGGACTTACCACCTTATTTTCTGAATGCTGAACAAGAAAATGTATGTTTTCACTTTTTTGTCTTTCACTGTTTATCAACGTACTAGGTCATATCTTTTGTGGTTATAACTGAAGAGGACGACATTCTGCGTAAAAATTTCATCACGGTGATGTCTCCATTTATCGGCAAAGTACCAAACCAGGATGCGCACAATTACCCGCTGCGCACAATTCGCCCACTTTCCCCTAAGTAACTAAGGTCCATGTTAGACTGTTATAGGCTTCGTATTCGTATTAATTATGTTATTACATTGGCGGTCTTTAGAATTGAATATTGTATAAATATTATATGTTAATCTTTTGAGAATCCATAATTATATTAAAATTTGTCAGCTTTCAATGCGTCACAACTGAGCTATTATTTATAAACTTAATAAGAGATAAATCGTTGTACTGTATACAAATTTATTCATGATTCTTGCTAATAAATTTTTAGCAAATTAATATTTTTGTCGTCTAACAACAGTATGTCATAAATAAATATAGATACAATACATAGTTTTTTTCGCACATGAACAAAACTTAAGGAATTTAAAGATAAATAAGAGAAATCCTTTTTCTCTCTTTTCTTTAATATATGTATTGAAATGTACAATTTAAATAATAATTATTATTTAATAATAATTACTATTAGTATTATTGATTATAATATTGATTATAATCAATAGACCGGATTTCAAGTAGCACGTGGTTGGTTTGGAACAATGCTGAACGAGTTCAATGACCATGTATACTACATCTGAAACCGATTTGAAAATAAGGCATTTTTATAGGCACGAACAGAAAACAGGTGCGTCTAGTACCGTTGAATCACAATTATTTTGAGTCTTCTTTAAAATTCGCAATGCATACCAGAAGTGTATAACATGTAAAACTCGATCGTAAAAGACATAGAATTACGAAATCTAGATATGAAATGCTTTTATTTATTAATTGCGCATCTAAGATCATTATAGCATAATTCTTTTACCGTAAATAATTTTTGCATTGACTCACAAAACGAGAGA